TTAGAAAAGTCGCATCCTAAATGAATCATTGGTAAGAGTGGTCAACTTGGTAGTCGAACACAATTCCAAGAATACATCCAAGTGCTTATAAGGATCCTCTATTGCAAACCCATGGAAGGTAGGAAGCATTTGGGTCATAGCAGTCTTAATCTCAATATGGGTTGTCCAGAAAAATAAAGCACGAAGGGGAAGTATATGTGGTTAGAATAAAATAATTCCTCAATTGTGGCTGTGGTGGAGGAATAGGTGGAACCCGTTCTCCATTGCCATTACCATTACCATTACCATTGCTATTACCCGGTGTATCACGTTGATCAGCCATGTTATTAGAGGAACTTCCTATTGAATTTAAATGTCTTTTAAGTTTTCTAAATTGACTAAGAGTTCTCTTTATTTCAGGATCATGCACTAAAGGTTTTGACCTAGTATCGCGAATTAACATGCACTAATTCCACTAATCCTAATAGTAACTAAAATAAAACTTTTCAAGTAAAAGAAAATAGTAAAAACTCACAAAAAGTTTAATAAACCGAAGCTTTTTATCCCTTAAGCGTTTTTATCCTCACTGCTAATTTCCTGTACCTGAAAAGAAAAAGAATTAAGGTGAGATATCAGAAAGTCCGAAGACTGGAAAACCAAAAATAAAACTAATTAAAGACTAAACTAATAACAAATCTCCCCGGCAACGGCGCCAAAAGTTGTTGTGTATTTTTGTATACTACTTATAAATTTGCCACTCGTAACAACACGAATCTTTGCAGAATAACATTATGGAGAGGGTGTCGAACCCACAGTGAGATGAGTTATTATGTTTTGTTTTTAACAAATTTTTATTGGTTCACAGGTAACTGATTGAATTGATTGATTGGTTGCCATGATTATAAACAAAAATTAAACTAAAATAAAACTGAAATTGAACTAGAGTGATCAGAGAGAGAAAGGTCTTAGGGCTTTGACTTCACCACAACCTTGTAACCATGGTTAACTGTTTCAACTCTGTGGATTTAAACACATTATATTTCAAATGAATTGAACTCAATAACATTCGTTCAACTCAGGTTTTAAAGAAAGATGTTTTATAAAATTCAGTTAACTATAACCTATCTGCGGTTAACATGGACTATCCACCAACCTACTTTAACTATTTTAACTACTTTGTAAACAATCCATCTTTCCTAAGCATAAACTATGAAAACATTCTTATATAAAAAATGTTAGAACACCATTACATGACCTCCATTCTTATGTCTGGCAGGGCTCCGCCAGATACCGTCCAATAAGAATAGGTTGAGAATAGAAAACGAACAGTTATATCTAAGACAAGGTAATAACAATTCGAAAACTATTTAAAACATTAAATCCAATTGAGTTGTCTTAATTACTCATAGTCATATAATAAAAAACATAATATACATTAAAATATCCCAGAGTTAAAACAATCAAACCATAGTACTATATTGGGTTACATCAATGCCCTAAGAGAGGAATTAGCTACTCATGACGATGTCGGATATTAACTGTACTGTAATCATCTCCATCGTCACGGACGACAGTTCTCTTCTCAGGATCTTCACCTTCTAAGGTTATGGAAATCCTAAAAGCCATCGCACTATCAGCCTTCTGAATAATACGAGAAAAAGAACTTGGAATTTTGGACCTCCTTCTATCAAGGCCTATACCTTCTTTTATACAAGAAAATAAAGATTTGGTGGACTTTTAGGTCTTTTGGTCCGTTTATAGTGAAATACGCCTCAAAAAGGAATAATCTCGTAACTTGAAATCTAATCTGCCATGGAAAGCTCAAGCTTTAAGAAGTCGAGCTCGAGCTTAGAAGTTCAGGCTCAAGCTTTAGGAACAAGGCTCGAGTTTCTCTGCATTCATGCTCGAGCTTCAAGGAATGGTGCTCGATCTTCACTTTGACACTTGGCCAAATTTCTTCAATTATTTTTCGAAGCGTCTTTTCCTTCAACACTTAGAATATTTTTGAGATTGAAATCTTTTAACATTTCTCGATCCAAGCTTCATGGGCTCGAGCACTAGGTACCGGGCTCGAACTTTAGGTACCGGGCTCGAACTTTAGGTACCAGGCTCGAGCTTTGAATGATGGTGCTCGATCCTTACGTCTTGGCATGAGGCCCTGGGAGCTTGGTTTTTCAATTAAATCAACTCTTCAACTTCCGACGCCTTGTGCTCGAGCTTGAGGGCTAAGGCTCAAGCACCCTTTGTTAGGGCTCAAGCTCTGAGGTACAAGGCTCGAGCTTCAATGCTTTGTTGACTTTTCTTCTTTTTTTCTTGCAAGGCTCGAGCCGCAGGACTTGGCCTCGAGCTCTGGTTCTTGAATTCTTCAAAACTTCACCATTTAAGCTCTCGGCTTGCTTTGGATAACTGGCAACGACTCTGTAAGCTTTAACATGATCATAAAGTCCTGGTTTTAACCACTTATCTAGAAAAGTACCTATAAACACACATTAAACATAAATCAGTCTAACTATGGATAGAAGTATCATTTTAGGTCTTAACATATGTATATTTAGGGGCTCGAATATGTAATATTCAGCGCTCATCAGTTTCTCAAGTAGTGCCGAAGATCCAGATTGACAAAGGTAAAACGAAACATATAATGGTGTTCTTAATCGCCCGTCGATCTCTGCAATCCTCCTCTGGAGGCACCAACTAGGTTATTACCTTTGTTAGGCTCTTCCAGATCGGGCAAAGTGGAATTGACGATGAGCGACGATACATCGGTAGAAAAGTAAAGTGGACCGAGGAATGATTGGGATCCAATGGTTGAGAATTCGCAGTTGGGTTTTGACATTGTAGTGAGTAGAGAGAAACAAATAAAGAATTGGGTGGGCGGCGGCGGTGGTGGAGATGGTGATGGTGGGTGGTGGTTTTGTGGTGGAGGTTGTGGTGGTGAATGGAGGGAGAAAGAAGTGGTGGAGGTGGGTTGTGGTGGCGATGGTGGGATGGAGGAGATTGAGAGGGTAAAGAGAGAAAGTAGAGACATGTGTTAATATTGTTTTTTCCTCCAAAAAGGGGCATTTTGATCATTTATGCTATGTTTGGTTGGAGGGGAGGATTGATGAAGCTTTTCGTGTTTGGTTGGAGGGAATGGAAGGGAAGGAGAAAACAAGGGGGGATGAAACATCCCTCATTTCTTTTTGTTTTTCAATCCCCCCATTTTGGGGGGAAGAGAGGTGAGAAAGAAGGGATAACGACCTATAAATTTTAATTTTCAATGTTAACCTTTCCAAAAAAATTTAAATAGATATCTAACTTTTACAATTTTATATAATGAGGGTGTATTGGTATAAAGAATATAAAAACACTCTTTCCCATCCTCGCAATAAAACAAAAAGAAAAGTGCCACTCATATATCTTTATTACTAACCATTCCATTCAATTAAACAAAAAATGGGGGAAACACTATCCCTTCCCTAGGGATACCTCATCCATCCCTCCCTCTCTCTCTTCTATCTATTTTTTCATCCCTCCAACCAAACGAAGCATTAATAAATATAATATTTTAGATAAAATATAAATAAAATATTAAAGGGTAAAGTAGACATTGCATCCCTTTTGAGGTTCTGTTTGGATTCAAAATCTAACAAGGATGTCACTATTTCAAAAAAAAAAAAAATACTAAGTTCATATGATTGTCAATAGGCAAAACTTAAAAAATGTGAGTGTAATTAACTCTATATATTATTTACTTGTATCCTCCCCAAAAAAAAAAAAAAAAAATTAAAGGCAAAATTCTGACAAAGGTAAGAAATATGAGTTCAAGAAATTAAACATCATATTTGTGGACTTAATAAATCTAATAGTGCCCTTTGTATCCATTATTAATAAATCTAATAATGCCATTTGTTAGATGGACAGAGTACAGCCCCAAACTACAAAACAGGGTGAATTTCTTGGGATGAGTCATGGATCACTGGCTGCTACAAATATAACCAACAAAGCCCAACCCTGAAAAAATTAATATAGGAAAGGTGGTTCATTCATTCCCATTGCAATTTTTTAAAAAAGTTGAGATCTTAGCTTGGTACTCAGGAATAAAATGAAATGGGTATAGAATGAAGTAGGAAATGAGAATGAAATGAAATAGAATATTGATCATTATTATTATGTTGTTTGACAAATATGAAATAGTAAAGAAATGAAATAATAATCACTATAATCCTTTCATATTTGTCAAACAATATAATAATATAATAGTGATGGTGGTGGAAGACGATAATTGCGAAAGGATTATAGTGATTATTATTTCATTTCTTTACCATTTTGTCAAACAATATAACAATATAATAGTGATAGTGGTGGAAGACGACAATTGCGAAAGGCAGTGACAGTGGTGGCGGTAGAAGGCGGTGGTGGCAAGAGACATTACTAGTGACAGTGGATGAGGCAGCCGAGGGCAGTTGTTGTGGAGGAAAGTGATAGCTTGATAATTTTTAGACTTGAAACATCATGATTTTTAAGAAAATTTGTTTGATTTACTTATTTTTTATAATGTAATGACAATGCGGAATGATTTATCATGAAAATGAATTTTCATTCGAAAACAACGATCATTCTGACTTAAAATTTTATACTAAATAAAATTTTTTTTGATCCATTCAGGCGTAACAAACCACCACAGATTTGAGCTTCATTTGAGTTTGTGTTTTTATTTATTGAGTAAAAACATTAACACCAAGCTCCAGCTTGGTCTGGAGCATCAAAGCCCAATGGGCCCAAATGAAGAAGTATACATGTCAAAGTCCCAAAGGTCTCAAAACAACTGAATAAAATGACCCCAAAAAAAAAAACTGTGCTAGATACTTCAACCTTGTTTGACTTTTGACTGGTAACCACCACCACAAAAGCAATGCTTGGATACCATTGTCTGGCGACCATATACACCAATACACCACAAAGGCAAAAAGCTTGAAATCTGGGTCCCATCAATCCACGCATTCATTCAATGCAATACAAAAATGTTAATGAAGATGTAATGCTACCAGAAACTTCAATTTGAGAGTTTGAAAGTCGTCATTAGTCATGTATCACATAAAAGGTTACAAGCTTCTTCTTGGCTTTATACAAAGAGTACAGACATTTTACTTGGTGAAGTACCATCACCACCAAACATAAAACAAAAGGGAAATGGAATTAAGACCCTCACAAGCCAACACACACACACACACACACACACATATATATAATATGTATGTGTGTGTGTGCGCGCCCCTTATACATCAACATATACATATAATATATCTTTATTCTTCAATAAGCCTCATGCTCCCCCTGTTCATCAGCATTTACAAATATATAGTCAATCAACTGCCATATATAATAAGTCTGCATATACATATTCATACAGATACATACACGTACACATATGATGTACAACTTGAAAGAAATTTGAGGGATTGTTGAGAAGTATGGAGATGGTTTTAAGTACTCACTTTCTTTGGTGTAATGAAATCCACAAACTTGTACTTGCCCTTGACATTTGGGGACTTGTGGTGATGATGCTCTATCCCTCTATATTTCCTGATATTCTCTCTCACAAACCTTTCATATACGAAAGCTGCCCCCAAGAACTGGGGTAGAACCAGCCATGCTACCAATATCAGCTTAACATCATACCATATTGGTATCCTAAAACCAAAAGAACCAAATTAAAATAGAATATATCAATTTCAAAAACCTTGTTGATTCTCTCTCACACACATAAACACACTAATTAACAACTGATAAATTAATTTTTGGATACCATTCTAAGATGGGTAGGAGAAGCATCTCCATGAGAGTAAGAAACGAATACAAGATCCAATAAGCAAGCCACTGCTCATCATCCACTTTTGATGGGCTTTCTATTGCAACCACTGATGCATACCTAATATATCAAAAACACATGTTAATTATATCATTAATTAATCTTATATCTTAATCAGGACTTGAATCAATGAAGCACAGACACAGAAAAATGAGAATAAGAACCCAAACATGTCCTTACAAGGGGTACAGCAGCGTCAACACTGGCCTGCATGTATTAATTTCAAAATAAATGAGATTTAATCGTGGGATATTTGATCAAAAAATTGAGAAAAATGTAAGAAATTACCCAGCTAGTGTGTGAAGAAGAGTGATCAAAGTCCACAAACGATCCATTATTTTCTTTTTTTTCTTATATTTTCTAGATCTAAGTAATAAGGGTATATATGACAAAAATTACAAGAAAAAAAATGGGCTTATATGATTTGAAGAAGAAGAGGAGAAAAGTGAAGGAGGTTGAGGAGTCTGCAATGGGGATTGAAGAAGACAAGTTCGGATATATATGGACCCGAGGGATTGATGGTGACGAACCTTTTTATAAAGGGGCAGAGGAGGACACGTGGAGGGGTGTGATGCAGTATCAGATTCTTCCTTTAACGTGGCGAACTAGGTTTAGCACCAAACCAGATTACTACCAAAAGTTCTAGGTTTCAACGCTGTCATTATTGCTTTGTTCCTTTTACCAAACATGACACGTGTTACTTTTTTTTATCTACAAGGTCGGTGACACGTGTCACATTGACAGATGATCCAAGAAGAACACTGGGAAGATTGGATTTTATTATTATTATTATTATTATTTATTTAATTTTATTTTATTTTCAGGATCCTCTACAGTATCACAGTACTACCTTGTAAGTGCTCTTCAATTTTATTTTCTTTTATTTTATTTTTATTTTTTATTTTTTACACGGTGCTCTCCAATTGCACTTTAACACAATTATTTCTAACTTAAAATAATGTATTGAAATATGATACAATTGGGTTGAAAATTTACATGTCTAGGTTTTTATAGCCACACGATTGGGATTAAAGGCTTTTATTTTTTGTTTTTTAAACTTTAAAATTAAAGTGATGCACCAAATTAATATCAAATAGTCTTTTGGTTAGAGTTTTGGAATATCAATTTTTATTATAAAGAACAGTACTATTCAATCGAACATAATTTTTTGATTGAAAACTATTAATTGGATATTTATGTTCGATACAACTCATTTTTTTATACATGATCAATTAAAAGTGTTGTGTCATGTTGTCTGAAGGAATTCTTTTCTAATTTTTCTTATTATAATCACATTAAGATACTCATTTGACAATGATATGAGGACTATTTTTTCAAAAGATGTGTGATAAATGATGTTAACGGGGGAGTATGTTATTTTATTAATTTAATCTTAATTTTGTGTGTATATATATATATATATATATTTAGTTGACAATATCATACAGTGACAGGAGTTTCGCATTGGACTATAAATTAATTAATTAATTAATTAATTTTTTTTTTTTTTAGACAAGGAGCAATTCTAAATGGATCGAGGGCCCAAACCAAAATTACAATGAGAGATTAACAAAAGGAACATAGCCTCCACCAAGTACTCAAGTGAAGCCCATATAAGGCATCATTACTGTGTTAGGAAGATAGACATGTTTTGGTTGGGTTAGTCGGGGATCAATTTGCCTCGTAGAAATGCTAAATATAAAACAGTGACAAGCAACTTATCAAAAAAAAAATTAAAACAGTGACAAGTTGCTGCGTAGCAATGATTTGGTATACTGATTCATAGTAACAATTTGGGGCTTTTGTACGTGGACAATCTTCGTCTTAGCTTTGAGGTATCCCTTTTTCTTCGGCCTCTGAATCAAGAAGCTTAGGATCTAATCAGCGAAGAAGAATGGGCCACTCCAACGTTTGGAACTCTCATCCCTAGAACTACCGTACTGGTGAGACTCATCTTCTTCATCTTTTAATATTCGATACAATTCGTTATTATATATAGTTGTGTGTCAATGTTTATGCTTTGTGGATTGTTCTGAACTAATCCATTGATCTAATCTTCTGTTCTTTTAATTCACGTATGCTAATTTCAGCAGTTTGATTGGGTACTTCAATTTAAATATCTTGTTATTTGACCTATTCGCCATGTCACTCTAAAAAAATGCACCAGTAGGAACCCATTGATTTGTTGCTAGAGTGACATGGCGAATCGGTCAAATAACAAGATATTTAAATTGAACCTTTGGCCCAGCATTTGAAAAAATGCACCAGGAGCAGCTAATCCGTATATTTCTTGGTCAAGAAATTCGGGTATAAAGCTTTATCAATACTTATCCAACTTGTATGGGTCTGCTTGGTGCTTGAATAACAAGCTGATTTTGCTACCTCACTAAGCTCAGTTCTCTGCCTATATATATCGAGCAAATCTCACGCAATGAGGGGCATCAGTTTTGAGTGAGAGCTTGGGTGTAATTGGATATTCCCTAAAATTAGACACATCACTTCCGATTGACCCCATCATCTGCAAAGCATACTGTCGATTCTAGAGTTTTATTTAGATCTTTCATTCATATCATTTTCTTCTTATATATGGGGTTCATTCTAATTTTATCAATCTAGATTAGATCTTTTTTTTTAACTTATGTTGCATGATTGTTGTTTGATACATGTATATATATACAACTGTACTATTTGAATTGCTCAACTTTCCAGATTTGCATTGTTAACTAAGATTTTCTTTTGTATTACATGTACAATTTTGTACTTAGATAAATGAGAAATGAACCTTTCCTTATATTGATCAAAGAAGTGATTATCTTTTAGTATTTCACTAATTATAGGTAATACTTGGTATAATACTTCACTAACTCAAGGTAATTGGAGTTTCTTTCCATAAATAAAGTAACATTTATTACTTTGGTTTTATTAGTATATTTTCACACCCGCGCTACGCATAAACTTAGTGTTCACTAAGTTGTATAACCTGAGTTCTGACATGCAAGGTTGAAAGTCCAACCTATTTGGGGGGAGAATGCACCAAAAGAAGATGAAGCTGCAACTTTTGGTTGCATGTACTAACTAAATAAATGTTTGGCTAGTTTCAAATAAGTGAATGTTTTGTGCAAGTTCTTAGTGAGGATTTCAAGATATTAAATGTGGACCTACATTTTATTGAAATCCTTCATTTCAAGTTCTGACATATTGTAATTCAAATGTGTTAACATCGTAGGAGCAGGATTTAAAATTTGACAGTACAATGAAGAAATAAGCAATGCATATCATTTGTTCCTTCACCCATTTTCATCTTTATTCACTCTGAAGTAGAAAAACTAGTAAAAACAACAACCCATTTATTCACTTTGAAGTAGAAAAACTAGTGCATTTTAAATGTGAAATCAAACATTTTCCTGTTATCTCTATTATTGCCACCGTGAGGCATCCAAAATGCACAAAATAAGCCCTATAACATGGTTGTTGGGAAGTATGAAGATAGCATCATAGAGGAGAAAGATGGTAGGAGGCCTTTGTTGTGCTCCGTCTTCTTCATTGTAGAAAACAGTCTCCACCTAGCCAGGCCAGATAAATTAAAAAAATAGATTAGAGATATTAAATGTAAAAGAAAAAGAAATTAAGAAGGATTTGTAGTTATCAGTGTGTTTTGGAACTGTCTTAGCCAAAAAGTAAACAAAAGAAAGAAAATAAATAAATAATCACCAGAACTCTTGCTTGCATTACTTCTATTCGCCAGCCCTTAGTGGTTGAATTGGATTTCTGTAAGCTCGTCTTTTTCTTCTTCTCTGTTCTTGCTGATGGATGATATTCCTCAAGAAAATTCTGTCAACATAATTGAAGTACCAAAAACTCCATCTTCTACAAAACAGAAGTGGCCCGATGATAATTCCTAAGCCCACAACAAATCCCAATTCAGCACTTAGATATACCTCAGATTCAGGATATGAATGATTGTCTTTCAATGTTGGTGATGATATTGGTGGTATCACTACATTGCTGCAATTTTTGCCAAAAGGAAACCCACACAATCCTTCGTTTCCTTCGAAGGAGGTTTCAGAGAATGTTTGAAATTGAGAGCCTTTTGGGATCTGTCCAACCAGCAGATTATATGACAGATTCAAGAATGGAAGGAATGTAAGACTTGCAAGCTGTATCGGGATTACACCATTCAGCTTATTCATGGAGAGATCTAACGATCCAAGCTGTTTCAAGTTTCCCATTGATGCTGGGATTGAGCCTGTGAAGCCGTTGTTTGATAAGTTGAGAACATAAAGTAATTTGAGATTTCCAACAGTATCTGGTATCTTCCCTTGGAATTTGTTGTTTGAAAAATCAATGGATGTGAAGATAGTTAGAATTTTCACAAGGTCCATCTCTTGTCCTTTGTTGGTAACTCTCACTGTATATTGATAATAGAAGGGACTGAGTCGTAGAAATTCAAAACGTGCATAGTTAATCTTGTCGACCATCATTGCTCTCCAGTTCAAGAAGTATTTTCGTGGCAGATTACCACTGAAGTAGTTGGAAGCTAGGTCAATGATTTGGAGATTTGGCCAACTATTGTTGTCGCTCCCTTGACATCGAATGCCTCCTTGGAACCTGTTGGAACGTAAAACTAGAACTTGCAAACTGGATGAGTTCTTTAGGAAGCAAGGAAAATTACCACTAATGTTGTTGTTCCCAATGTTCAAAACTTCTATCATGGTGCAGTTGGCCAGAGATTGTGGAACTTGCCCTTCCAGATGATTCGCATTGAGATCAAGGTTCTTTAAACCACAATTGAGTGGGAATGTCCCTGAAATATTGCCACTAAGTTTGTTCTTCTGCAGATTCAGTACCGCAAGAGACCTGCCACTCATCTCAGCTATACAAGATGGTATTGCTCCATTCAAATGATTGTTTGACAAATCAAGAACTAGAAGGTGTCTGGCATTGCATAAAGAATCTGGGATGACTCCAGTGAGGCTATTATTTGCAAGGGAGAAGAAAGAAGCAGATGCGACGCGATCACCAATATCAGCAGGGATGAAAGAACTGAAATTATTGCTCGAGTAGTCCACATATGCTGCAAATTCTGGTGGTTTTGGGATTTTTCCTCCAAACTGGTTAGAGTGTAGGTCAAGGACAATGATGGTAGGATTAATGGTATAAGGTTGTTGCACATCCACCAGTAGATTATAAGAAAGATTCAAATAATTTAGAGTTCCATCCCCAATTTTCCAGATCCAGTTTGGTATTTTTCCGTCAATTTGATTGTGTGAAAGATCCAATTCATAAAGTCCTGATAGGTTCTGGAGGTTAGGAAAACTCTGCAACTTGCAAGAAGCCAATCTTAATCTGTGGATCTGTGGAAATGAAAACAAGCTTGAACTACTGCCACTTGTATCAATTGACAAGCTGTTGTGTGAAAGGTCAAGTGTGGTAAGATTAGGGAGGCCTGTAAAGCTTTCCAGTTTTATTGTAGTGAAGTTGTTAGAAGAAAGTAAGAGGACGTTGAGGCTTTTGAGCTCAAAGACAGACATGGGAATGGGTCCTTCGAAATTGTTATTACTCAAATCGAGTGTGTTCAATGGGGAAGAGGAAGCATTTTGATATTCAGGAACTTGACCACCAAATTGATTAAATGAAAGCTGAATCTTCTGCAGCGACTGGATTGCTAACAGAGAAGAAGGGATACTCCCATTGAATGAATTGTAACGTAAATCAATATATACAAGATTTTGAAGGCCTTCAAAGTGATTGGGAGGAATTGAACCCCTTAAAAAATTGCGAGATAAGTCTATGTGGGTGAGACTTTTCAACTTGTGAAATGATGGGATTGGGCCAATAAACATATTGGTTGACAAATCCAAATAAACAAGTCGAGTGAGGTTTGCCACTGAATTTGGAATAGGTCCGCTGAGGTTGCAATTGAAAAGCTCTATCCAGGACAACATCCTAAGGTTATCAATTGAGTTTGGTAATCTCCCAGAAAAATTTGTATCGCTAAGAACCAAGTGCTCAAGCGATCCATAGTGGTGAAATTCTGGCAAAGAGCCACTCAGAAATTCATTGTTTGACAAGTCAAGGGTCTGTAGAGTGGATACCTGAAAGATCTTGTCTTGGAACATTCCTTGCAAATTACAATTGCCGAGACTCAAGACTGTCAAATTCGTGAAATTTGTAAAGAATTCTGGAACTGTGGTGGAAAGATTGTTCTGATTCAGACTGATTACTGAAAGAGAACGTAGCTTCAAGAGATCAGAATCAATAGGGCCTGAAAGATTGCAATTGGACAAGCTCAACACCTCCAAATTGGGCAAGGATGATGATAAGGCCTGGCACCACTCCTTTCCCTGTGCTGATATATTTACACCATCAAGAAGAATTTCTCGAAGTTCAGTGAGGTTCTGAACAAGCCTTGACAAATTTGGGTTGTCAAGTTTCAGAGGAACTTCAGGGAAAAAGGTCGAGAGGTCAAGAGTAACCAACCTCGTCATGCTTGAAAGTTCCATTGGAATTTGCCCAGCAAACCCGGCATTTGACAAATTGAGGTATGTCAAACTGGTGAGGTTTCTGAACCTCTCTGGAATCTGTGTAAAGTTGAAGCTGTTATTAGCCAAATTGAGACTCTGAAGAGACTCAAAACTGAAAAGAGCACTGGAATTGTCGAATCCACCAGAGATTGATTCGCTGCTGAGGTCGAGACCTATCACACGACCAGTAGTGTTGTCGCAACTCACGCCGCTCCAATGGCAGCAATCGGTGCTCTCATTCCAGTTTATCAGCTTGGTGGAAACTGAAGGATTGAATTGGAGGCTGTTCTTGAATTGAACCAAAAGCGACTGGTGATGGTCGAGACATTGGCCAGAAACCAAGTCTGGGTTGGTGCAAAACAAGATTGTGAACAAGGGTATCAAAAAAAGCCATGAAGAGAGGAGTTGAATTCTCATTGGACACAATTGTGATAGACACCCTTGTGAGTGAGTGCAAATGAGAAGATAAATGAAACAGCAACGCATAACAAGCGTTGAACTTATTGGCTTTGGGGGTTCAGACATTTCCAACACGGCGGTGACTGTAAATTTTATAAACGCCAAAGACTTGAGAGGACTAGGAATAGGAAGAAGAAAGAGAGAGGTAGGGGTCAGTGACCTATCCCATAATTCAAGTTGGCTTGATTTTTTGTTTGTGAGCAGGAAATTTGAAGTAATGGTAGGACCGTAGGATGTATATATGAATTTGATACATTGGCAGACTCCGTTAAACAGTGTATACGACAACGCTTACACAGAAATAAACTATTGCCAATCAGTCATTTATAAAAATCCACTGAGACTTTTATGATTTTTCAATTTAGAGAGATCTTACTGTAAATATACATATAAAGTTGCATTGCATGAAAAATAACTAAAACATATAGCAAGCAATTACTTCAAGATGAATTGGAAAACTCCTTCATCTCCTCCCACTTTTGAGTCCATTCAATAGAAGAGACAAAAGGTGCCACAAACAGACATTCCATGGCAATTCTTGCTTCAAGATGAATTGGAAAAATCCGCTCAATTGATTCTTTTAAAGTTTGGTAATGTGCCAAATACCCATCAAAAAATGACTCAAAACTTGAGCAATAAGGGCTTTATTTCCTTATTTGTTACATAATTGACCAATAAAAAAAAAGTAGGTCTAGCAATTCACTGTAACTATTAAAAATAATTAAAAGAACTCTTTTACTGTTCCTATTTTGTCCATAATTAAAATGCACACTAGTTACTTTCTAGATACCCTTTATTCACATATGAGAGAACATGTTATTCTAATTGATCTTGTTAAACTTATGTTATGATTATTAAAAATAAATAAAAAAATAAATGCAATTAATTGAGATTTTCTAAAATAAAACTTTAGGATGAGAAGGAAGCCACCAAAAAAAAAAAAAATTTCCAATTCCAGCTCAAAATTTGACTGAATTTTTTAATTGCATAGAAAACAATAAATCAGTAATAATGGCATTATTATGAGCCGAGATAGATGATGATGTAGTAGGGGTGACTATTGAATATGGATCGGATCAAACACTAAACTAAAATAATTTAAAATTGAATCTAATTTGATTTGTAGAAAGCGTTAATCCATTGCAAAGAATACCAAATTATTACAATTTTTTTTTTTTTTTTCTTTCTTAACCACGACCTAATATATTAATTATTAATTTATTAAACGTAAGTTTTTATATTTAAAAGTAACAATGAAAAAGAATCAACAACAAATGATCAATTAACACATTCCCCAACATGCAGTAGCCAAAACACTAGCCACACATAATTATAATTAATTTAAAATAAATACAAAATAATTTACTATATTGTATATTATATAATATACAACCCTAAGTTTGGAATATCTCGCCTTAGTTTCAGCCATTAATGAGGCTCAAAATGTTATTTTCCTAAGTCTGATTGAATATCAAAGGTTGTTGTGTCAAGTGTTGGTTCTTGAGTTTTTCATCTTTGTGTTTTTTTCCCCATCATAATAGTACACTTACAATTAATTTTCATTTCCCTCTTTTTTTCTTTTTTATTTTCTCCAATTAGAATTGTATAGATGAAGTATAAATGTGCACAGGCCAAAGCCCAAAACAGCAAAAGAACAAAAACTTAGATAGCTAAGTGTAACAAGGGTCATTTTGTCCCACGTCGGAATCGGATGGGAAAGAGATTAGGTATAAATGGGTGGGTATGCAGCCTTACCTAACAGTTCGAGCTTCTGGATAAATGGGCGAGCGCCCACCCGTTACAGTTGGTATCAGAGCCAAACCCAGTCCTTGATTCGGTGCCACGCCAAGCGCCCGGCCCGGAAAGCGTCCGGGTGAGTCCACCAGGGTAGGTAGGGTGGCTCAACCGCAACGAGGGCGTTGCGAGTTTGGGTGGGGGAGAGTGTAATAAGGGTCATTTTGTTCTACATCGGAATCGGATGGGTATAAATAGGTGGGTATGCAGCCTTACCTAACAGTTCGAGCTTTTGAGTAAATGGGCGAACGCCCACCCGTTACACTAAGCCATAAGCCCAACCCGTCCCACAGTTGGTCAAAGTCCATTGTAGTGCATGAAACCCTAGACTTGTATTGTCTCTATCAACATTACACCCGGTGATTTCAGAAGAGGAAACAGCATACTAGCATAGTACGTAAATAATGCACTAAGTGGTCCACAATTATCATATCCTTGTCACACACAGACAGATACATATATACACACACACACACACACACAAACATGCACTATGTACTGGCTTTTTCACCAAAACAGAATTGCTACTTCATCTCTGATTCTCTGATTTTTTTCCCACTTTCATATCTTCTGTCCTGGGATTCCCCTGCATGTCTTTGTGAGACGTACTACCTCCAACAACCTGAAAATCATTACCGATTCAACATTTCTCTTACAAGTTAATAAACTTCCAAGCATATCTCTCCTCCAGTATAAGGTATGGTTGAGACTGCAATGCATGTGTTTACAAGTTATATCGATATCCATTGAACTAACTGCAGTGTGTGTGTGTGTGTGTTTTTTTTTTTTTTTTTTTTTTTTTGTTTTTTTCTAGTTTTTAAACAACAGATCCAGATCAATGGCGGGTGAAGAACCAAGAAACACTGAACAGTCTGAACTTCAACTATACTTGAAGCTTTCCCAAAGTCTTGATGCACGGAGGGAGGAGGAGCGAAGGCCGAGGAGGATTTTGCGACAGCTACCAGAGACTTGGAGGAGATCACAACAGAATTGATGGGGATACTTCGACTGGAGGTTACCACCACCGAGGAAGCGAACATCTTCCTTGAGTTCCACCACCGAACCCGGGATGGCCGGGAGTGGTGGTGGTAAACGCCGCTGAGGAAGGAGGTATCCGGGATGGCATTGTTGCCAAGCTTGAAAAGGCTGATGTTTGCTTCAACTTGGTTGAGGATAATTAATTAGGCCTCGTTTGGCATTGCTATTATTTCTTGTGCTTTTGCTTTAGTGTAACCCTAAAATAGCAGTACTTTTGCTAAGTCCAACTAATGATCAAGTATGTGGAATGTTGAATTGAAATGTTTAGCCTTCTCTGTTTCTATCTTTGAATAGCCCATCTTATACATCTCAATATATGTGAATTTTTGACACCATTATAGTAGTACGTGCACCAGGTTTTAAGAAAATAAACACTGCATCTTCTACCAAATTAACTGAATTTTGATTAATTGGTACGGTCTATCGTATTAGCATTAATTGATGTTGTTTTCTCAAGACATGCCACGAAAATTGCAGCATTGTGGACATTATTAACTAGTTCTCATGCATATGCTATAACATGTATAGTGTAAAGTAAATTTTTTTTTTTTTTAAGTTGTGCCATCAGTTTTATAGAGCTTGCTTTGTTGGTTCTTTGTTCTTCTTGGTATTCTGTGTTTGGCATATATGTATATATATATATGCCTCGTCTTACATAACATATAAATACATATTTATTATTCATTAAGTCTCGGACTCTCCCTGTACATCAACATTTACAAAATAGTCAATAAATTGCCATATATAGTAGGTCTGCATATTCATATAGATATACAAAACACACACACATGTATCATATATAGACCTTCAAAGAAATTTGAAGCCGTTGGTTTAACTCACTTTCTTTGGTGTAATGAAATCTACAAACTTGTTTTTGCCCTTGCTGGGGACTTTTGGTGATGCTCTGTCCCTCTATATTTCTCACAAACGTTTCATTTATGAAGGATGAACCCATGAACTGGGGTACGTAAAACCAGCCATGCCACAAATACCCAGCTTAACATCATACCACATTGGTATCCTAAAATCAAAAGAACCAAATTAAAATAGAACATATCACCTTCAAATAACTTCTTGATTGTCTTTATCACACACTCTCTCTCTTACACACACACACACACACAAATTAAACTATGCGTGGAGGGAAAATACTTCCCCACCAATAAAAGGTGGACACATAAGCATGAGAGGGGACCACCGAAATATATGAAGACTATTCAACTTCCAATTTGGGCTTCAACATGAAGAGTGGGCCAGATTAATTAAGCACGGTAGACTGGACTCATTAAAGAAGGCCCGAATAAATAGGATTTTAGGCCCAATCATGAATACACATTCTAAACCCATTTTTGGTAACAATTTTATTAGAAAAATGATTACACTATCCAAGGAAACTGAATCATGTAAATCCTTATCATAAACAAAGTGCAATGTAATTGAGATTCTCAAGAGACAAGCAATGCAAGTCCTTTTAGGACTCAATCACTTAAAATTTCTTATAAATAGAGGTCAAGACCTCGAATAAAGACATACAAACTTTGTTTTAATCGATTTTTTTTTGTATATACACTATGTGAAATACCAGTTTGTATCACCTTCAAATACTTTGTTGATAGTCTTAATCACTCTCTCACACACAAATTAAACTAACTATGTGAAATAATTAAATTTTTGGATACCACTCTAAGATAGGTAGGAGTAGCATCTTCATGAGAATAAGAAATGAATATATGATTTAATAGGCTAAGGTAAAGGGTAGGCGCTTGCCCATTTATTAAAAAGTAAAAAGTTTAAGTCGTTGGGTAGTGCTACATACCTCCCATTTATACTCAATCACTCTCCCATCTGTATCTGATGTGGAACAAATATCCCCCACTCGAACTCGCAATGTTCTTATTGTGGTTGAGCCACCCTGCCCATCCGGGTGGTTTACTTGGATACCTTTCGGGTCGAGCGCTTGGCGTGACACTGAATCAAGGATTGAATCTGGTTCTGATACAAACGGTAAAGGGTGGGCGCTTGCCCATCAATCCAAAAACTTAAGTTATTAGATGGTATTGCATATCCGCTTATTTATATTTAATCACTCTCCCATTCGAATCCGTTGTAAAAAAATCTCCCCTCATGACAGCTAGCCACTGCACATCATTTAGTGTTAATGCGCTCTCTATTGAAACCACTGATGCATACCTAAAATCAAAATACATATATGTTATCATTAAATCTTATCTTAATTAGGAGGTAAGTGTTTTGTTTTGTTTTTGGCAAAGACAAAAGGACACCAGAACTCACTCTTGTTTTTGGTGTAATTTTTTTATTTTATTATTTTTTATTTTATTTATTTTTTTTTTTATAAAAAACTGTAC